AGGATTTGCTAAGACGTTCTATTTTTTTCAAAACGCAAACGATTGCAAATGATGAAAGGACATTTTTCGTATGCAAGAAATCGATTACAGTAGGTATAACAGACGGCAGAGTACGATAAATGCCCTCGATTACCCCATGATTGGTGGTGACTCAAACTAAACAATTTAGTTTGTTTTTCGTAGCTTAAACATTGTTTTCTTTTGAGAACAAATCAGTAGACCCTTATGTACTAGATAGTTGGCCATGAAATATAGTTCACGTGTAGCTCTCGAGCGCACGTGCAGTGCAGTAGTGCGTATCAATCAAACGTCATAAATATTCCATTGCATAGCAACACTTATATTGTTGTAGCAGGGGAAGGGATTCATTTTTGTGCTTTACTGTGAAATCATAAACCAGTTATGATGTTAACGAATCGATATCTATCTACGGTGTACATTAAATGGGGAAAACAGCAACGATTCTTTGCCAATTTGTGGAAAGAAAGCAGACATTTTGTGCTTTGTTCAAAAATGGATCAAGGGTTTTAATTACCATCGGAAGAAATTCAGCCGAAAACGAAACCAAGTGGTTGGATTCTACGTTTCACCTAAGTACCGTAAAATTATGACGACATTTAGTTGCGGTCCGAAACCATTCGACAAACTATCAAAATGAACACAGGAAAATCCCAGTCGGCTCATGGCAAAGCAAGAGTTCTGTGAGAAAATTTTAATCGTTGAGAGAAGGCGGTGAGCGCGCTGCAGAATCATCGAAAGTTTGAACAAGGTGAAGGATTTCGCAAACAAAGCAAGCTCCGGCAATCTCGTTGAAAGCTCACTAATGCTGAAGATACGTTTGGGTCTTAGCTAACGAAAGTATGATGGGATTGCCAAGTATGCCAAAGAACAACTGGAGGTGCAACTTTTGGAACCCTGCGCAAAGATCAAGAAGCACCAAGATGAAATCATTCCCTGGTTTTCATCTCCAAATTGGGATAAAGGATACTTGGTAGCCGATGTCACTGTACGTGAGGTAACTGCATCAGATGTCTCCCATTGTTATCCAGCTAAAAGACGTGGTATCAAATCTTGAAAAGGTTACTGCGTTACCTGACTTATAACGAATATACGTTATATACGAGTACCCCGAATACAACGTATGACTCGTCTAATTTAACATAGCATTTGTAATGTAAAATTAGCGAACTATACGTTGTATCCCGACTACAACGACTCGTATACAACGTATATTTGTTATAAGTCAGGTATCACAGTAGTATTCCTGTAGACGGTTTTCTGGACTGCACACATCACTTTACAGGTGGAGTGGACTCAGTCACCGGATTTTCCCATTATGATCAAGCAGGCTCACTAGGAAAAGATGATTTTTTACCTGTAAGTGAAAATCTGTCATACAGCAAAAAAAAAGATATAGATGGGAATTCGGCTTCAACTCATCCAGCAGTGAAAGAAAAAGCTTGGCAAATTGCTAATGATTAAGTAAATCGGGCCTTTACCGCGCTCTGCCGTCTGTTAAATCTACTGTAATCGATTTCTTGGACATTTGTGCATACGAAAAATGCTATTTTATCGTTTGCAATCGATTTGAATAAAATTAATTTCCTAAAAAATCTTATATTTTGTACGGAAATAGAGGTAAAACGAGCATTAACCGTACTAGGCTGTGATTAATACCTACTGCAGTCGATTTCTTGAATATTTGATCGTATATTGAACAGAGTTTATCAATCATATTCTTTTCATAGTCAATAGTGAGCAGTGCTAAATTTACGGAAATTGTGGCAAAGAGGGACTTAACAGTCCCATATATAAAAACAGTTGACGAGAATCCAATTTTACATAAGATTAGCGTGAATTTGATGGGTGTGTGTGATTTAGTTACGAAAAATAATGGAAACTGATAATAGGGAAATTGAGGTAAAACGGTAATTTTCCATGCTCTGCCGGCTACGATACGATAGACGTTGTTACATAAGAAAAGTGCTCTTCTATTGGTTGGGATCGTTTGCGTTTTGAGAAAATCAATTAAGAGTAACAATTACAGAATTTTTCCCACTGTGCGATGCAATAAACATCACACTGTTAAATAAATTTAAGCAAAACAAAATAATCAACATTTGCAGTTTTGGACTTCTGACCAGGTTTGTTTTGTGAGACGGGCCTTACCCAGTTGAACAATTTTGCTGAAGATTAAAACTACACATCTAGTGACAGGTAGCAGTTATCAGTAAAAAATGTGATTTACCCTCCGGAGACACCTAGTGAATCATTTTTGAACGATACTGCGCTCTTGCCCATTTGAACAACTTGGCAGAGATACATACTTTCTGCGCTGTCTGATTGACGTAATATCTTATCAGTGAAAATTGAGGAAATCATTCATTCTCCAATGTTTGGGACAAGCATACAATATTTAATGATAAACTTGTACACTTATTATACAATCATGCTTGAAGATTATGATGATGATTGTCCAACCTTTTACCACTACACAAGTTTGATAGTTAAATATGACATTTTACAAAACGAACTGGTTACGGTTGCAGCTTTTAATTTCCTCTAGAGTTTACAGTTACTTCACAGCGATATAAATGTGAACAAGCTTAGGCGTCCACCCCTTGATTCGACTTTTTGTCCACCTAAAATATTCATAAGAATTACAAGCGATCAAGCGTTAATGAACAATCAACAAATCATTCTAATACACTAAGAGCACCGCAATTGTATTATGCTATCATAATTTTCAGTAATGGCAGGAATGCGCTTGAACCTCTGACTTTCAGCCAGAAAACTTACTCCTAACTCAAGGCATCTTCCAAAAGAGCTTCTATCAAATCTTAAATTCAGTCCTTTACATCCGAAATTCGCGCACCAGGCTTAACTACTACTAAATTCAATATCATAAATCCATCAATCAATGACAGCTATCCATTCAAAATAATCCGTTAGAGATAACTTCGTCAATATACTTCATTTGCCAATCCAGATATGATGGAGATGAAGAGATCAATATATGAATAAAGGGTGTCCCACATCAAATTGAATAACGGAAAAAAAATTGGTACAACATTTGGCTGCAGTTTCTTCTGTACGGAAACCCACTTTTTCTTCATGTCTTCCTCAGATTTGACCTCCTTGGGATGCTTCCGTAGTGCCTGCTTTATAATAGCCCAATATTTTTCAAAGGGCCTTAGTTCCGTACGGTGCGTCATATCCTTGGGTACGAAAGTGACCTCGTTGGCTTCGTACCACTCCAGGACAACATTTGAATAGTGGCACAAAGCTATATCCAGCCAGAAGATCGTAGGACCCTCTTGTTGATTCAACAGAGGAAACAGACGCTTCTGTAGACACTCATTGAGGTAGATCTCCCCGTTTACAGTCCTGGTAGTCACAAACGGCGCATTTCGTTTGGCACATGAGCAGATCGCTTGTCAAATCATGAATTCCTTGGCAAACTTTGAAAGTTTCTGCTTCCTTACTTCCTCCGAAACATCAAACTTGTGCTGGGCGGTGATAAACAGTAGCCCGGAAGAAGCCGGAAGTCCGCCTTCACGTAAGTCTCATCATCCATGATGAGACAATGAGGGTTCGTCAGCAGTTCGTGTACAGTTTCCGGGCCCGTGACTTTCCCACCGTATTGTGCCGTTCGTCACGATTTGGAGTCTTCTATGCAGTCCTTCCCGGTCCTTGGCTCTCTGAAGAAAGACTTGGACAGATTCCGCTTAAATGCTTTCACGACACGCTTGTGATCCTGATCACTAATGGAACAACCATTCTGACAGCATGCTCAGAGCTTCGTAGTAACGTTTAATCACACGACACACCGGTGACTACACGATTCCGAGTTGTTTTCCGATGTCCCGATGAGAGAGTTGTGGATTTTCCAGGTGCTTGCGCAAAATCAATTCACGCAACGTCGTGATGATGGCATTTTTTCCAACATTCGAAATACTGACAGCGATAAAAAATACAGTGTAAACAATACACTCTAAACTACTTCTGTCCAAATTTTCAAGAGAAAATACCCAATCAGTAATTTTATACAGCGTTTTTTTCCGTGATGCAATTTGATGTGGGGCACCCTTTAAATAAAATTATGTTTGAATTTTTGTTCGCATCTAACTTAAAACTTCAATCCAAAGCCAATAAAAACCCCATCGCATCTTGAGCCCACTGTCGCCCCGATATAATTCAAACTAGCGTGGTTTGTTATCTACAACCACCACCCATCATATTAGCCTGTGGTGAAATCTTCGCGCCAACCTTCGTTCTGAATCACACACCGTTGGACCTGGTTGTAATGCCGCATCCCGAAAACAAAAATTCCCCATCAACCATCCGCCATAGTATTGGTGAAAACTGGCCATCGTGGTTTTTCGCGCCAGTTCGGGGAAAAACTTTCGATTGTGTGCCGTGATGCGTTGGCCGTCGGGAAAATTTCCGCTCTAAGTGGTCCCACCACAGACCAGACTTGCCCGAGTTGCGCCACACATCCGAGACGGCATTCGAAGTTTGACAGTCTAGCTAGCTGGTCGAGAAAATCCGATATTGTGCCGAATTGTAAGCAAAAAAGGAAAATCGTGACACTTGACCGTGCGTGAGGGAGGGAAAAAAGCGAACCGTGCAACTGTGCGTGAGCCGAACAGAACAAGAAGAAGATAGAAGACGAGAATCGGTGTTACGTCACGTTAGAAAACCATAGGAAAAGCCTGAGGAAATCGAGGCAAGAACATCGCCGTATTGCGCTCGCGAGAAGATTTTGTGATTTTCAGCGCGGGGCTAAAAATAAAAATTAGCGAATATATGTTCGAACTTTTTTCCCCTCTCGGCACGGAACTCGAAAAACGTTCGAGAAGCGAAGAAAGGCAGTTTTTGTGTGCGAAAAAGCGCGAAAATTTGACGATTTTCTTGGATTTCTGGATTAGTGTCTGCACATTTCACGAGCAAGGATTATCGGTGGATAATTTTCTCATTTCTCAAATTCTCATTTCCAGTGTCGTTTTTTGGGTGTTCTACAGTCCCACAGTGCCTTTGAAGTCAGTGAGCCAAAGTGAGTGTGTGTGCCGATTTGAAACCGAACGAGTGAGTGCACTCCTGAAAAAGGGATAAAAATTCCTAAAGTGTGATCTTGTGACTCGTAAAACGCAGTGCGCGCAGAGTTCAAATCCAGTTCTCCGCGTGTGGACCGTGGGCAAGATCCGGAGAGTGAAACGAATCCGAACGGCATAAATTAGCATCGAAGCCGAGAGCCGAATCAGTCGCAGTCAACCAAGAGCCAAGTTCTGCGCGTTTTCAAGGTGAGAATCAAAGTTATGCATGCAAAATTTGGGGATGCTTCCTACGTGCGGTGGGGTGCACGGGGGGAGAGGGTGGTGGAGTGTATTAGCATTGCTCTTTGTCCGTTTGTTCCAGCAGCATAAAATCCAAGTCTTGCGATAAGTTCTGTTATGAAGAAGGTAGGAGGAGTACGAGACGGTTTTTATTTTGTGTGCAGATTGTGGAGGTGAATAAACTTTTTTGCAGCAGATATGCAACGGATTCCCCAGCAAATATCCCTCGCAAGCCTCGCAACCCTCGCTGGCTGCCACTACACTAGTCCGGTTGCAACGCAGTTTGACCGAAAGAATCAGTAATTCAGAACGTGGTGCGGATTTAAAAGAAAAACACAAAATTTGCGAATGCAAAAAAAAAAGAACCACTCTCTGCAGTCAGTTTCGAATGTAAGTTAGAGCACTGACTGGCTGCCTTCGTACGAGTGGGTGTGGAAGTATGTCAGGAAGGGTGGGGTGAGGGGAGTGGGGGGATCGGAAGAGGTCTTAGATTGGGGGGCTTCATTCGGGGCACGTGGTCTTCAAATGATTGTGTACCGCGGTGGTGTCGGAATCGACGTCAACGGGAGAACGGGGTGCGGCATCAGAATATAAGAGGTCCAGAACCAGTTTAATGAGTTTGCTGGCAGTCGTAAAAAAAAACTGAACTGTGACTGTTTTTGCGCTGCGGTCAGGGTTGGACTTGAAACGATGCAAATTGGGACTCTGGATGGTTTGATTTGTTTATGTATGCGTACTCTAGTAACCACCATCAATTAAATTTTTCTTCGAGAAAAGGAAGAGCTCGTCGCTGTAGGGTGATGCGACACTTCGTCGTACTCCACTTCGATTCGTCATAAAAGTGGCTGTTCCACGGTGTAGCCAGTTACATCATTCGTTATAAATCGTGTGATTGCAATACTGAGACAAATTTAGTTCAAACGAATTTAATTTTTCTTTATTAATTGAGTACTGAATAACTGGAGAAAACGCAATCTTTTACGACAATTATAGACTCCATACAGAAAATTACAATAAGTGATATCCTTCGTGTAAAATCTCTTCTTATCAACAGATAGTTGGTATTCCCACTCTCTCTGCCCAAATCACTTCAATCGGCTGCCCTATTGGACCATCCCTTCCCTTTTGTATATGGGTCATTCCAGCTCAAGTGGGTACAGAATTTAAAAAAGTTGTGGTCGATGTCACCGATTTGAGCCAAACTTGTCCAAAACGCTTATTTTAGCATTCTGAACAAACACCATTTTTGGTTTTACTCTTAAGTGTCCAGATCCTTCTGGGCAACCCTGGATTTTCGAGATTTTTATAAATTTCAACTTTCAGAAGAGATTACTCCACAACCAAAAAAGCTATTCTTGATATTAGAACGTAAATTTAAAGGTTTTTTTTTAAATGTAGATTCACATAGGTGTACTCACATTTTGTTTTTGTTCTAGTAACTACAGTAAACGGACTGATTACCGGCAGGTATCAAAATTGTCAAAAAATGGCCTTTTTTCACCATGGGCGGGCATTTTATTTCTTGATATTATGGGCTTAAATTTTCTCCACACTTTGGAAAACGCTTCTATTAGATGTGTTTTCAAGGGCAAATGATTTAAACAAATGGTTTTTGAGGTATGACCAGATGAGTGAGTGGAATATTTGAGCTTTTCGGGTGGAAAATCTATGCTATTTTATTTTTTTTTTAATTATTAATTACTTTATTTGTATAGGCTCACTTGAATAAACTTTACAGAGCCGAATTATCATTTGCGTTATACATTATTACTGTCTTATATATAAAATTAAAGGAACTGGACCGATTACTCGCGGTTGTCGCGAGGTTAGTGGAGATTTACAATTTACAATCTCCTTCTCTCTTTTCCCATCCAAAAATGAGAAAAGGGAGAAGGAGGTATGAAATGTGGTTTACGAGACAAATATTTAATTAATCCTAAAACATGAAATTATTTCTATTCATCTTGAAAACAAACATTAAAAAAAAAAAAAACCCACACGTACAAAATACAAAACAAACACAAGATTAATCAAACTTACAATCTAAGGTTAATATTCTTGAAGTAAACATATATGAGTTTCATAAACTCCAGATCGCGTCTAGCCAAAATATCCAGAACTGGAACATTAGGTTGTCTACCTCGAGCCCGAAGGGAATCATAAAAATGTTATCTGACTCCACGGTGCTCAGCACATGACCAAATAATGTGATCTGCGGCTTGGTAACCTTGTCCACATTCACAGAGATTACTGTCCCACAGCCCAACACGGAACAAGTGAGTGCTTAGAAAATAGTGATGAGACGAGACATCACGCGTATGAAGTGTCAATGCTATTTTATATTTTTTTTTATATTTTCATGAATTCCTTCAATATGGAACAATAATATTTCTTTGTTATATTTCACATGTTCTGGGCGGGATTCTCATTATATGAAATCATAACTAGCTAATTTATTTACTTCTGTCCATAATTTCGTTGTGGTCCTAAAAGTGAAAAATACGTTCCAATTGGAAAACTGTGCTTTAAAAGTAAGATGAAATCAGATAGATTAGCAGGTATATAACATTTCAGTTGTGGATGAGAAATTTGTTTAATGATATAAAATATATTGTTTGATAATATTTATCTAGATGATTGCGTCATTGGGACGGTACTCATGGATATTTTTGGATGCTATGGAAAATTTTGTCGATTGCTGAATTTATGTATGGGCCCAAATTTGGGGGCATTTAGGCCGACATTACATCCATTTCCCCTAATACGCGATAATTCGTACAGTTTTTGAGGTTGATGATTAATTATATATATACAAATGGTACTGCCAAGACACCGACACGACGATAAACAATAAATACAATAAATGTTTTTCAATTCAAAAAATCTATTTTTTTAAATAGTAGTGGTGTAGTAGTAAGCGTGATTACCTCTCACCCCAGCAGGCCTGGGTTCAATCCCAGTCGGCGCCGCCGGGATGTTGATGAGGCATAACATCTCTGATCACGCCTTCCTTCGGATGGGAAGTAAAGCCGTTGGTCCCCGGTTCATGAGTTGATGGGTCGATAGGTAGGGTCCAGGTGTGGGAGCTGCCTTCCTGGCACGTCGGTAGCATTGGTGCTCAGCACGGAAAACAAGATCGACGGAAAACAAATTAAGGAAAAAAAAATATATATTTTTCCTTAAAATTAGTTTTTCAGCACGAGGCTTGCAGAGCTGGATAATTACGACGAGTGCTGAAAAAAAAACAATTTTGCAATGAGATGCATACAAAATTTGTTGCACTTAACCGTCATTGTTATTTAAGTTAGGAAAAGTAGGCCATTATGTTAGTCAAAACAGAGTCGAAGAGTGACACTATACAGCCCTGAGTGCCATAAAGTCCTTTTTCGCAATTCCATTGGTCAAGTTTTCGTGAATGTACGAACCTGAAGTTGTTTATTTGCTGCTGATAATCAAGCTGAAATTTACATTTGTGCTTATCAAATTGCGAAGTATCATTACCCTATTCAACTCAAATGTTGTTGTGTAAAGATCCAGTAAGAGCTTCAATGATCCATCAAGATTTTTTTTCCAGAGCATAACCCATAACCCAAAACGCATATGAAATGGAAATTTTAAAATGGTTACCAGCTACACTTAGGTCAGGATACAGTAGAGCGTTAATGTTTCATTACTATGGCTCCAAGCTTACGGAAAACACTTTTGTTTCTTCATCTTCTTCTTCTTCGCATTTCAAGCTTATTGCATATCGCATATAAGCTTATTGCGTGCTCTCAACTTAGTGTTCTAGATGCACTTCCACAGTTATTAATTGATAGCTTTCGATGCCTGTACCATTTTTGCATTGGTATAATTGTGTGGCAAGTACAATCATATTTCTATGCCCAGGGAAGTCGAGAAATTTTCCAAACCGAAAAATTCCTAGACCGGACCGGGAATTGAACCCAGCCACCTCCAGCATGGTCTTGCTTTGTAGCTGCGCCTTTACCGACTGAGCTAAGGGAGGCCCGTGTTTCTTCGTAAACCTTCCATTTAGCAAAGTAAACTAAAACGCCACCCCTGGAAACCATTCGTCTCTGTTGCTTCCTCCTTCAGATTGGCTCAGGACACAACAACAACAACAAAAAACAGCTCCGGCGATCCCGCGAGCGAGATATCACACGCTAATACCAGTTTGGCCAGGCAGCAACCATTTGCCAGCAAAAACAAGACTGTTCTTTCATTATATTAGCCCCAGCAATGCGAATATATACAATCTTCATTGGCACGGTTGTTGAGGCTGGCTGGTTGGTGGTGGTTGGTCATCTTCACTGGCTGCATGCTCGAGACGACGACGCCGCCCTACACCGGTTTATTGAAATCGAAAACTTGATCTACGAGAGCAGCAGCAACTCGGCGAAACTTCTATGAAAGTGAGAATATTCTATGTTGGAATCGGCGCGGCTGACTAGCTAGTTAGGTAGGGTAAGGTGGGGGTAATACGTGCAACGGGATAATATGACCAACAGCGTTTCCCAGATGAAAGTTTAACTAGTGATTCTGAGTGAAAACACATTAAATTTGTTTTGAAAAAAAAAACACATAAATAAGCTCTGTTGGTCATATTACTCCATAGCGCGTATTACCCCACCAACGTGCGATAGGAATTTCTAGTTTTTTGAGCCAAGGGAGAATCGACCTACGAACACATTTGCGACCAACACCCACTCGGCTCGAATTTGCGCCTTTGCTGACTTGCTGTTTTTGTGTTGTGTGTGGAATTTGAGTTTGACAACAAAAGGTGGGATGATAAGGCAGCGCGATTTTCAGTTGTATGGGGACTGTCTGGAGAAGCTGTTCGCGGATCTGTTTTGAATGGATGTTTGTGTGTGTGTATGCGTGAAGTTGTGCTATCTAATGATGATGATGACGCTGGATTTGGGGGATTCCATAGTTTGCATAAGATGAGTTGAGGCGCTATCATTGGT